GTGTGTGTGTGTGTGTGTGTGTGTGTGTGTGTGTGTGTGTGTGTGTGTGTGTGTGTGTGTGTGTGTGTGTGTGTGCGTGTGTGTATCCCGCTGCGTATACCAGCCAGTACACAATCTGGCTACGTTAGGCGTTAGTGTGTTAGCGCATGCGCAATATCTCACCAGAGGAGTTACATTTTGTGATGAATATGCAATTAAAATGTTAGGGGGTATTTCCGCATAGATTTCCCTAATAAACTTTTATCAGTAGACCTGTGTTTATAATTAGGAGAGCGCCCTATCATGTAGGGTACAAAACAACTACTTTATGCCCTCGCGTCCTTCCCCTCGCCTCCCCTGTCCCTCGCACAGCCTCCTTTTTCTTTTACCGCCCCCAGCTATCTTCCCTACCGCCTTTCCTCAGTCTCCCATCCCCTCTGTCCCTCAGCAAGCTATATTATGAAGTTGTCCTCAGACGGCAATGCACGCCTAAAACGGTGCGCGCGCATGCGCAATATCTCCCGAGAGAAATCGTATTGTGCAAAGATTATGCATTTAAAATAAAGAGGAGTTATCCTAGCATAGATTTATATGATGACATTCTATCAGTTTACATCATTTAAGAAATAGGAGGAACACCTTGCATGTAAGGTCCCAGCTGCCTATACCAGCCAGTACACAATTTGGCTACGTTAGTGTGTTAGCGCATGCGCAATAACTCACCAGAGGATTTATATTTTGTGATAAATATGCATTTAAAACGGTTAGGGGGTATCTCAGCATAGATCTCCCTAATAAACTTTTATCAGTAGACCTGTGTTTATAATTAGGAGAGCGCCCTAGCATGTAGGGGACAAAACACCTACTTTATGCCCTCGCGTCCTACCCCTTGCCTCCCCTGTCCTTCGCTCAGCCTCCTTCTTCTTCTATCTCCCCCAGCTATCGTTCCTGCCGCCTTTCATCAGTCTCGCATCTCCTCTCCCCCGCAGCAAGCTATATTATGAGGTTTTCCACAGACGGCAATGCAAGCCTAACACGGTGCGCGCGCATGCGCAATATCTCCCGTGAGAAATCGTATTGTGCAAAGATTATGCATTTAAAATAAAGAGGAGTTATCCTAGCATAGATTTATATGATAACATTCCATCAGTTGACATCATTTAAGAAATAAGAGGAACACATTCTATGTAAGGTCCCCGCTGCGTATACCAGCCAGTACACAATCTGGCTACGTTAGTGTGTTAGCGCATGCGCAATATCTCACCAGAGGAGTTATATTTTGTGATGAATATACATTTAAAATGGTTAGGGGATATCTCAGCATAGATTTCCCTAATGAACTTTTATCAGTAGACCTGTAAACCTTTGTTTGTGTAGACCTTTTTTCGGCCGTTCGTATACGTTCAAACCGGAGCCGGGCAGGCTTACAGCACTTGTGCTTGGTAAAATCCGGTCTATAATATTCACTTTGCTCGCAGCTTCACGCAATGTGTTCCTCGCTATGCCGATATTAATGTACGTGCAGATGGCGCTCGTGCGTCGGGCACCGTTGACTGACAAGAGAATTTTCTTCGGCCGTTTTCATACGTTCAAACTAGTCGCAGGCGGTCCGACGGCACGTGTGTATGGTTAAATCTGATCTACATGCTTCACTTTGTTCGCAGCATCGCGCCACAATTCCGCAGCACGAGGTGAAACTACAATTTGAAAAAGTCATATCTGTTCTTAATCTGGATATCTTCTTGTGTGTGTGTGTGTGTTACTCTCGCTAGCTGGCCCTGAGACGCAGTGAGGTGTGTCGGCGGAGGGTTCCTGCTGCCTGGGGCACGCACGTACCAGATGTTCTACTGTTTCACTACGACATTACCCGCAGTTTTGTACGTTTCCATTTATATACCACTTGTCAAGGTATGATATTCAGCTGCACTCGTCGAATTCCGCCGCTCTCCGTTCCTCGCCGTCAGAAACGATATACGTACGTGTCAGTGTGTGTGTGCGTGCGTGTGTGCAGCAATCTCGAGCTTTCGTGCGAGGAGACTGTGAGAGCGATGAGGTGCGTGCATGTACTCCCGTGCGGACATTGCGATGTAGGGATGTGTTAACCTGCCAGACTTCCGCCAATGAGTTTACACCGTCGGATTAGGATACTGTAAGCATAAGTAAGTACATAAAAGGATAATCAGCTACTGGTGTTGTCGTGGAGGCACGAGCAGGTCTATCAGGTATAGCTCTGTGCATGTAATGGCTATATACACGTGGTTCTTTAGCCTAGCTGCGTTTAGTTT